GCCGCTCCCGGAAGCGGCCGGCTGCTGGCATGTCTCTGGGGCCGCTGGCGGGGGGGGAGGTGGCTCCACACGCTCCCCCAGCACCATCCCGCAGCTCCTGTTGGTCGGTTCCCGGCCAACGGGAGCTGCGGGGGTGGCGCTTGCGGGCGCCGGCAACGCCCAGAGACACACTGTCCACCTTCCCCCAGGGGCACGCAGAGACGTTCCAGCAGCCGGCTGCTTCCGGGAGCAGCGTGGGGCCAGGGCATGCAGGCACCCTGTCTGAGCCCTGCTGCACCGCCAGCCAGGAGCCACCTGTGGTATACAGGGGCCCCACAAAATCTAATAGCCCTGGGCCCACAGGAGAGTTAATCCAGTCCTGGCCCCATCATCCTACTGTCTGAGTACCTCACACCCCTTTAATGCACTGATGTGTCTATCCTCACACCACTCATCTAAGTGAGGACAGTGCTAATATCCCCTTTTAAAGAGGGGGAACTGAGAGACTAAGTGAGTTGCCCAAGGTCACATAACTAGTCGGTAGCAGAGCCAGGAACTGCAGCTCTAAAGTCCCAGGACACCATGCTAACCATTGGGCCATCTTTCCTCTAGGCATGCAGCTCCCTATGCCTTGGTACAAACATCCCAAGAGGGGTACATCAGCTCTGTATTCTAGGCTCCCCTGGCTTCTGGGCTGGGCCCCATTGCATATCTACTCCTGGAGCTTCCACGTGAAGGGGATTTAACCTGCCACAGTGGCTGGATTCCAAGAGCGGTATTGGGAGCGCCACAAGCCAGCCTGCAGCAGGCACTGACTGGCACAGTCAGGGTGTTAATCTAGACTAGACTCCCATTGACTTCAGGGAGTCCACCAGGCCCTTATTATTCTCTGTTCTACTGGAGGTTTCTTGGATTTCCCAAGTAGCCTTCGGGCAGCCAACATCCTGTGTATTGCTCAGTCATTCACTTATCTCCTGTTTCTAGCTCTCCCCTCTTACCACATCTCTCAGTATTAGCCTTCAATACCAATGCTTATCTCTTATCTAGCATTTCCCACCCCTAGATCTCAAAGCACTCTACAAAAGAGGCTAAGTCTCATTATCCCCATTTTGCAGAAGTGGAAACTGACACCGAGGAGCCCTGCCCAATGTTAGGCAGCCAATCAGTGGCAGAGCTGGGACAAGAACCCAGCTCTCCTGCTTCCCACTCCAATATCCACACCGTCTCCCTTTTGCCTAGAGTCACAGGCTGCAAAAGGAAATAAGCCTTTCTACAGTGTCCGCCTCTTAATTTATTCCTCCATTAACTTAATTGGCTGTGATAAGGGGAAGGGCCTTGTATCTGAGCAATATTTGGGCAGAGTAACATGCAGATTCAGCTTGGGGAAAACAGCCCTCCAAGAGCAGCTTCTGTTGTTTAAGGATCTGTGTGCTACAAAGATGAACTGTCAACAAAAACAAGGCTTTTAATACCAACGATGTATTCCGGCACTTCTTTAAGACACACATTACTGGGCATAACCCTCGCCCAAGACCAAACACAGGCAGTGAAATACCGTGACCTTTCCTTTCATTGACTATGTTCATTCTAAGAAGCTGATTTATTTTATCTACAGTCACTGACTGATGGGTGCATTTAATCCCACTGCGTCGGT